TCTTACCTATGGATGTAGGGAAAGAGGGTAGGAGGAAGGAGAAGGAGAGGTTGGCCAAGAAGGCGCGGGAGACTCAGGTAGACGACGAAGAGGATTGGTTCAATGGAGGCGGGTCTGGTAGACCGAAACCTGCCAGTGGTCGCAATAACGGCCCAACGAATGGAAGGCAGCCTGGAAATAGCGGTGGTAACGGAAAGGGACCACCTTCCGGGCCAAGCAAGAAGTTCTCATTCGGTAATATCAGCAAGGACGAGAGCCGCTTCGCTGATACACGAGGGAGCGACCGACGATACCAGGACGACTTTTCTCGACCATCTCGCGAGACGGACTCCATCCAGATCAAAGGCGCCGCGAAGAGGGAGAAAGAGCGGGACAGGCCGCGATACTCGGATGATAGGTCATCTGGCTCGAGGAAGTATCCTGGCGATGACAGACGAGACGATCGACGGGGAGGCTCGCGAGGAGGAGGCGATTCATGGCGGGATCGACCAACGCACGAGGATAACTATCATAATCGTGGTTATCCCAGGGACCGCAGGGACCGAGGTTCTGGACCTGGAGAGTCTAAGAACGCCCCACGATACCGAGGAGGATATCGTTAGGTACCTGTATATTGTCTGAGCTATGTTGGAGTACACTCATTTCTTTTGTTTTATCACGCCTCGACCGTTGCCATTTGTTCGTGTCTTGCAAGCTTGTCCCGTCATTCTAGAGTTGTAGCGCTTTCGTTTTGTTGCACGACTTGAAATCTACACATATATTTCTACTCCACTCTATCGCTAGTCTTGACCATTGACTGTTCATACCGCGATTCGTAGCCAGAAGGCCGTGTTGTGGTTGGTGCAAGGTCACCGCCAGGAAATATTCGCGGCGCACAACTGGCCTTCCATCTCAGTTTCCTCGGATCAATATCCGGCTGCTTAAGCTAGCGGATAGTGAGAAGAAACTGAGAACTTACAACTGCAGAAAGCTGATCATGATCTTGATCTCATTCGCCAACTCATTGTGGGCGTCAAGCGTTGATATAAATGGGCGTCTGTTATACCGCGCGTCTCTTTCTTCCTGAGCTCTGACCGCAGGGTCAAGTGCTGCGTGAACGGTTCTCTTCACATTTGACACGTCCTCGTCCTCGACCGCCATCATGGAACGCGAAATACAACAACTCATCGAAATGGTGCGCACATTCTGACGCGTTCCGCGAGACGAAGAATGCTTACCACATTGTATTTCGTTATAGGGTGCCACCCGGGCCCAGGCAAAGGCTGCTCTTAAACAACACAGGGATGTTATGGAGGCGGCAGAGCGGATCTTTGACGGAGAGTATGCTGATGTGGTAGACGAAGACGAAGACATCGAGATGTCTTCCGCGAAGGAGAGAGAGAAGCCGAAAGTCGCTCGGATGGTTGTAAGTGCGAGATGTCTTTGTCGTTAACCACCGCTCATGCCAGTCAAGACACCTGATGGGGACGATGATGAGGATGAGGAACTGGGTGATGCTGGTGATGACTATGATGAAGACGATGGTGTGTGCTCACTTAGTATGATACGCTCACCCTCCTGATTCTCCCGTACAGTTGAAGACTTTGCTGATTACGACTCCGACTATGAGGCCAAGGCAGAGACCTCCCGAGGTCCATCAAATGCCGACCCATATGCAGGTACGTCGCTCCTTCTGTCGTGCACATACTCTGGACTTACGCCCTTCAAGGCATATTCTTCTCCAAGGATCGGCGTGAGGAGGTGATAGAAGTCGAAGAAGAGCCGGAGAACGTCTTTGTCCCCGATGCAGGCGAGAATGCAAATCTGATGACCCAGGGTCAATGGATGAAGGGCTGCCCCGAAGGTGGCGAACAGAGCTTCCTGTTCAGCCTCTATCAGGAGCTGAGCGAGGGCGAATGTCGATGTCCCAACGGCTGCAAGAAGCCTTTCCCTCGGCAAAAGCGCGACTTCTTCCCAATATTCGTAAGTGCCACGCGATATATCCATGAAGTTCGAAATCTTCACGTTCATTCCCTTCCGACAGTCCCAATTTGAAACATACATCAATCATCTCCATCGTATCGTTCCCCGCCTATGTGATGAATGCCACAAACGCTTCTGCTTTGCCTGCACAGAGCCCATATCAGAGACAAACAAAGCACAAGACGGCGATGACGACACGTTATTCCACTGCCCAAACCTACAAGGCGTGATCCTTGGAGTTGGTCTTGCTATGCTAGAGCAAACATGGTTGGAAGAAACGTCTGGCACGTCCCAGAAGCCGTCCAATGGTAAGAGGCGAAAAGCCGAGGCTTCGCACGTACCTCAATCATTCGATGATGATGACGACGAGGACGCATACCCACCAGTCACCCATTCCAAGAAACTCAAGCTTGGCGTTGGTTACGCAGGAGACGCGAAGGAGGACGTGAGTACGCTCTCTTCTTCGCAGATGAAAGCGGTTTCTGACTTACACAAGAACTCGGGCCATCTAGAAGCGTTGAAGATTCAGCGTGAGAAAGATGAAAAGCTCGCGAAGTTGCTATCTGACATTCGGATGTATCTTCCATCCATTCACCGTGAGGGTGGTGGAAAACCCAGTGATTTCCTTGTTCATCCCACAGCGCTCGCTCACTTGCGAAGACGATTCAATTTTGTTAGCAGTCAGTTACTACGGAATGACTCCCTCTCAGACATGTCAGATCGGTCTGTACTCTACTTCGAGCTCTTGAATTGGCTGGAGGTATGTCCAGATCACGACGCTTGGGCATAAACTAACAGTCTCTACCGCAGACGATCTCATCTCACGAAGCACTTGCGAGCATGATGGCGATGCCCATCATGGTGGGCACCTCTGCCAAAGCCATGCCATCGAAGCGATCTGGCAAGCAATGCATCCGGGAACGCACCATCATTTACGAAGGATCCTCTGGCCCTCGCGAGCTCCTCGAAGCTATCGTCATCCAGGCTCAAGCCGCTCTTAAGGGCCTTTCCCCAAGCAAACCCGCGGAAGAAGCTGAGGACGCAGAGATGACCGAAGAGCAGAAGCGCCAAACTTCTGACGACAAGGGCAAGGAGAAGGACGACGGCAAGGTCATCATAGAGGAGAACCAGAAGCTCCTTGCATTCTGCAACAGTATCATCTCCACCGCGCAGGCCATTGACAAGTCGCTGCGTGAGACCAAGGGTGAAGCGTTTGTCGAGAGACTGCACGCCAGTTTACCCAAGATCCCCGGTACGTCCGCCTCAGGTCAAGAGAATGAGGTTGTTGTGAAGAAGGGACTCTCGGAAGAGGATATGGAGAAGGCGTATTTGGAGTGGGCGAACAGGGTGCGGTTCGAGTATTGTGACCTGACCATCGACAACCCGGCGCCATCTAAGGATGATGGGTCACCCCATTTCAAGTTCGTGTACAACAACGAGGCTCGGATGCTAGCGAACGCGGACATTCCAAAACGCTCTTTAGCGATCGCCAAAGAGGTGTGTGTTTTCATGAAATATTTGCCATGGTCCTGTTTCACTGAGGTGGCGTGCGATCTATCTATCAGCTGGCTGTCCTGACTACCAATCTTCCTGTCGCCTGGAACTCGTCGGTGTTCCTCAGAGTCGACGAGTCCCGAGTAGATGTGATCAAGGCGTTGATCACAGGTCCAGAGGGCACTCCGTGAGTCCAAGACCGCTAAATTTGTTTTTTCTTCTGACAACTGGGGTCCAGGTACTATAATGGCTGGTGAGCAAAATATATTCATGTCGGCGATTCGGATGACTGAGGTATGCGCAGTTTCCTGTTCGATATCTTCCTTGGAGCAAGCTATAATCAGATGCCGCCGAGTGTCAAATACGTGACCGTAAGCAAAGCCATTGTCATCGATGGTGTCTAGCACTGACCGTTAGTAATGGGCAGACGAATGGAGGGAAATACCGCTTCAACCCGAATCTCTATGCGGTGAGTTCCTCAATCGTGATTCTCGCCATCTCGCTCGGTACTCATCTTTCACCCGTACCCACAGGACGGGAAAGTCTGTCTATCCTTGTTGGGTACATGGCAAGGTCCAGGTTGGGTAGCGGGGAGATCGACTCTGTTGCAGGTGCGTCATGCCCGCCCTCGGCCATTTAGCTGTGATGAACGTTGAGGACTATCGTTGTGCAGGTTCTGATCTCCATTCAGTCGATGATTCTGTGCGAGGAACCGTATCTGAATGAGCCAGCGTGGTCCTCGTCAACAGGCACCCCAGCATCGAAAGCATGTACGGAGATTTGCTCCAAGATGGGGGTGTTTCTTCAGACTGACTGATTGGAAATTTTTTCTGGACAGACTCCGCAAACGTCCGTCGAATGGTGGTGAAGACTGCGGTGCGCCACTGTTAACGTCTAGTCTATTGATATCGTGTCCGCTGATCGACCGCATGTATTCCAGATGCTCGGAAACCTGAAGAATCCACCGGAGCCCTTCACCGACGTGATTCGCACGCACTTCCGTATCAAGGCCCAGTCCATTATCAAGCAGCTCGACGACTGGCTCGAGCAGGATGACGGCAAGCTCACCTCTGGTGAAAATTCAGGCCATACGCGGGCTCCGAACGGAGATGACCCGAATGGGAACGGGCTGAGGGCGGATGTGGATGAGCTGAAGGAACTGCTGCTCAGACTGGAGAATGGGGAGGATATTGACATCGCGCAAGAATCATGACGGCAGCATGAAATACAGATGCACGACTCAGCAGTGTCTGATGTCTCACGCTGATAACTGGTCCGGGTGTAGTTTTCTTTCTTGGGTCCCTTCGGACAGAAGCATATACAGAGTCTAGGCATACTAGTCCTAATATCATTGTACATTAACTGGATACCAACGCTTTGAGACAGTCTCCAAGCTCTCCATGTTCATACAACACTGACCGTAATCAATAAATAAATATCACATTTGACTTAGTCACGTGGAGGAAAAGGAAATGTGGATCCATTCCGAGTCGATCAAGATGTTCTTTAACGATGTTATATACTCCAAACCTCCTTCGCTTCAACCTTCGATAGCTCAGTTGGAAGAGCGTAAGACTGTAATTGGCTACGTAATCATGCGTGCATCATGTGATCTTAATGTCGCTGGTTCGATCCCGGCTCGAAGGACTTTTTAGGATGGTCCCCACAGGACATTTTTCTTGTGGGAACCGATCAACATCGGTATTGTGCTCATTGACGAAAGCCAAGACAATCCAACCCGGAAGAGTGAGGTGATTAAGCGCTGGGAGCAGGTCGCCTGCTGCTTGCTGCATTCATCTCCTACTTGACCGGCAATCGCTCTCATGCCCTTACCATACCCATGATGTCGTCGGTGGTTTCAGAATCACAGGAGAAGGCTGCCAATGGGCTCACGTCTAGTCCGACCGCCTTGAGCCATGTGAGCCAAGCACACGAACACAGTGATGGAGACGGGGAGCATTCCGGAGGGGAGGGCTATTCAGACGTGGGAGATAGTGGCTCGGACGAGGACGGAGATGGCACGGAAGACGAGGAAGAGGATGAAGACGTGGAGGAGGATAGTGATGAGGAGGACGATGAAGAGCCTGCATTGAAGTACGAAAAGTTTGGAGGCGTACTTCACGACTTGCTCAAGAAAGACTCCGCGTCGGCCGTGTCATACGCAAACAAACGGCTGGTGAGAATACTCCTGCATGACTGTGGTATATGCTGAAGGTTGTCGTGGCGTTGCAGACACTGGGGACTCATGCCGGAATAGTGCATGTGCTTGACCTGACAGGGCAGCGCATCAAGTCTGTGAAGCCACACTCAGCTTCTATCATCGACATCTGTACGGATGAGACCTCGGACTTCATCGCTACTGCGTCCATGGACGGTACGCCGACCCCATTGTGTGCCCAGGCTGCGGTGGTTTGACGAAACCTTCACATCTCTCGCCATAGGACAGGTTGTTATTCACTCAATATCCACATCAGAGGCATACTCGTTCGATATGAAGCGACCAATGCGGACCATCGCTTTGGAACCTAACTTTGCAAAGCGAACATCGCGTGCTTTCATTTGTGGAGGCATGGCGGGGAACTTGGTGATGCACGAAAAGGGCTGGCTGGGTCACAAGGAGACCCTGCTGCATTCTGGTGAGGGACCTATATGGCAGGTGCGATGGAGGGGTCGGCTTATAGCATGGGCGAACGACTCGGTAAGTCACTGCGCCGTCAGGCCTACCGCTGGAACTGACCGTGTTAGGGAGTCAAAATCTACGATACGACATCCCAAATGCGTATCACTACCATTGAGAGACCAGCGGATAGTCCACGTGCAGATCTCTTTAAATGCACTCTTCATTGGCAGGACGACTCTACACTACTTATTGCCTGGGCAGATGAGATCAAGGTCGCGCGTATACGCGCACGACAACGTGGATCCGGCAATAACGCGCCAAACCTGCCTCCGCTCATAGTAGAGATCACTGCTGTTTTTCAACTTGACTGTATGCTCGCTGGTATCGTCCCTCACACCATGTCCTCGCCTGTCCTGACTCTCCCCACCAACGGTGCTCATACTTCGCCCGCTCCTCCTGTCTCTGGTACATCCCCCGCCCAGCCAGCTCTCACGTCCTTCCTTGTTCTTGCATATACGCCGCCCGACCCTTCCCTCTTGCGTGGAAATGAAATGGCCTCCACGCATGCTGAACAAGCACGCAAAGCAGCCGAACGCCCAGAACTTCGCATCATCTCTCGCGCAGGTGAAGAGCTTGCCGCTGACGCGCTCACGTTCGCTGGGTACGAGCGGTTCGGCTGCAACGACTACGTATTGGTGGACATTCACTCCGCGGAAGGTGATCCATATTACATCGTGCTCAGCCCACAAGATATTGTCGTCGTAAAGCCTCGAGATTGGCGGGACCATGTGGCGTGGCTTGTGGAGAGGAAGCGGTATGAGGAGGCGTTGGATGAGATTGAAAGAAGACAGAGTATGGGTGAACAGATGGATGAGGGCGTGGACGCTGTGAAGATCGGTCAGAGTTACATCGAGCATTTGGTTGGCGAAGGTGCGTAATGTGATGCTGCCTTCTAAGACAGTCATCGCTAATAGCCTCGGCAGGTAAATTCTTGGAAGCAGCTAAACTGTGTCCAAAGGTCTGCGGTCATGACACGGCGCGATGGGAGGACTGGATATTCGTTTTCACACAGCAGCATCGTCTTCAGGTTCGTAATTTTATCAGTGATATGTTGTCCTAGTTCTCATTCGCCTGTCTAAAGGCTATCATTCCCTACGTACCTACTGAGTCACCTACTTTGGGGCACTTGGTATATGAGATGATACTTGCCTATTTTCTGTCACATGACCGAACGGTAAGTACAACGTCTCCTCTGATTGACGGCTATGTTTACCGGGTTTTCCGATAGGCCCTTCTCAAGACCATTAGAGACTGGCCAAAGTCAATCTACGATGTCTCAGCGGTGATCGTTGCTGTTCAAGCTGAACTTGACCGAGCACCGTCATCCTCTTCGGCTGCACCCGCAACGGCGGACACAGTCATCTTGATGGAATGCCTTTCTGAGCTGTAAGTAACAATTCATATCCACGGGGTCTATGCCTGACCAGTTCTGCCTCGCAGATTCGTGGCCAATAGACAATATGGCAAAGCCCTTCCATTCTTTATCCGTCTGCGAAGACCGAATGTATTTGATCTCATTCGTGATCACAACCTTTTCACTTCAGTTCAGGACCAAGCTCTGTTACTCGTTGAATTCGACCATGAGCTTGTGGAGAAACGCCGTAAGGAAGGCGACGAAAGCGTCAACTTTGAACGCGGTGCTGCGATAACATTGCTCGTTGATCATGTTCACTCCATACCCGTCAGTATGAGCCCCCCCTTCCGCTCTTATTGCAAGGTGTTGATCTCCCTCCACCTCATCAGATTAGCAAAGTCGTCCAGCAGCTGCGCGGCCGTCGGTACTACCTCTACGCGTATCTGGATGCATTGTCTGCCAAGGATCCCCATCTGACCTCAGATTTCGCTGACACACAGGTATTTCTATTTGGCTATGCTTTATTCCAGTAAACTGATTTTGTAACACTCAGGTTGAACTCTATGCTGAGTATGCACCACAGCGGCTGATAGACTTCCTCCGTGCCAGTAATTACTACAACCTGGAAAGAGTGAGGCTGCACTCTCACTTGAACTCGAGCTCAAACTAATTCTATCAACAGGCCTACCGAGAATGCGAAAACCGTGATTTGGTGCCAGAGATGGTATTCCTGCTGGGTCGGATGGGTGACAACAAGAGGGCATTGAATCTGATCATTGAGAGGTTGGGAGATGTGCATCGGGTGCGTATACTCTCTTTGTCGTTGGTCCTTACACTGATCGTACATTTATTGGCTTAGGCAATCGAATTTGCGAAGGAGCAACACGATGATGACCTCTGGGAAGACCTGCTCAAGTATTCAGAATCACGTCCTGGTGCGTCTCATTGCGACTTTGCGTGTCTGACGGCGTAGTCATCGTTTTTTCTCAGCTTTCATTCGAGGCCTGCTTGAAAATGTTGGTGCAGAAATCGACCCGATACGACTGATCCGCCGCATCAAGAATGGCCTTGAGATCCCTGGGCTGAAGAGCGCTCTCATTAAGATTCTACACGACTTCAATTTGCAGATGTCGCTACTGGAAGGGTGTCAGGTCATTTTGAATGGAGATGCTGCAGATCTTGCTAGGCAGTTGCATAATGACCAGACGGCTGGGTTCTTCTTGAATAGTAAGCATTCGGAGTACTGGTTTTCTCATCACCGACTCATGATCTACATGTATTGTCTTCAGGGAAAACGACGTGCCCGGTGTGCACGTTACCGTTGATCCAGACGCCCCAGATGTTGCTCCTACCCCACCTATGTCGGCACGTCGTCCACGCCAGCTGTGCAAGTCGGGACACCCAAGCCCAAGCCGTCGCGTCCCAAGAAGTCGAAGATAGTATTCTCGACCTGGACAGTACTGGTCATGTAAACCTTAATGCGCGTGTAGCGAGGTTCGTACAGCCTCTTCGTTCTTTGATGCAGCGTAGAGAACTGACCCCTCGACTTAGGACTGCTCTGATCCGTGCCAAGATCAAGAGTGGGTGTCCGGCGTGTCACAAGCGGGAGGAGGGTCTGCGAGGATGAAAGGACTTACATTAACACATCTACCTTGACTCTGGATATACTATACCCCCAATGTGTACTTTAGAGAACATGTTCACATCTGAGTGAGCGTCTGCTGTGCTTGTTTCGACCCGAGCTTGTCCCGAGACTCCCCAAATCTTTGCCACCATGAGCGTACTATATAACTGAAACACTCGCTGCCCTTCCTCGTTCTCGACGTCCACTTACGCCCAGTGTCCAACGTATACCTCGTTAATAGGTATAAATCTCGTTCTGTTTCAACCTTGGACGATTTGCGTGTTCTGACTATATGTTTTATCTGATCAGACCATCTATTCTATCCGTATTTATCGGCCTCCATGTTTGCTTTTATACAGCGACCTGCGACTGCTGCTACTCTGAACCGTCTGCCTGCTCGAGTCGCATTCCCAAAACGCAAGATGTCCTCCGAGCTCCCCAAGTCGCCTATTCCGATCTTCACAACCGTGTCGGCCTATAGGGAATGGAGAACACGGGCTTTTGAGGAGAAGAAATCAGTCGGGTTTGTCGCGACGATGGGTGCGTTGCATGAGGGTCATCTTGGACTAGGTACGTTCATTTGACAGTGTGTTATCTATTAGGACGTGCTCATGATTCATAGACGATTTGGCTGCATAGTCCGAAGGTCTCTTGCTGAGAACGACTTGACTGTGGTCTCTATCTTTGTGAACCCCGCACAGTTCGCACCAACCGAGGACCTCGCGACGTACCCTCGTACACTTCCACACGATCTCAAGGCTCTTGAAGCTACCACTCATGAAGCGGATGCCACTGTGACTTCATCGCGTATGACCGCTGCGCTGTTCCTGCCCTCTGTGCATGAGATGTACCCGTCGGGGATTACGCAAGAGGTGTCTGCACAGAAGGGGACGTTCGTTGAAGTGAAAGGATACGGCCACCAGATGGAGGGAACAAGTCGACCGACGTTCTTCAGAGGTGTCGCGACTGTAGTCACTAAGTTGTTCAAT